AGCCTCGCATCCAACTTCGACAGACTCCTAGAAGGAGCATCCGCCGGGTTAGATGCCGACTCCACATAGACTAACTTGAGAGCAATGTTCGCTTCAACTGTTGCCCAAAACAGCTCTTTTATGGCGTCATTAAGCTCCCTTGACGTACCCCCTTCTCTTTCCCATGCCAGTCGAACCGCAGACCACTATGCGCATCGGTTCTGCGCAGCTCTCTCTAAGATCTCGTTTAAATCTCGCGCTTCTTTTCCAAGGTAATGTGATCCGCGAGAATCCGCGAGAGTTTGCTACTGTATACTGTTTCGCTTGTAACTCCGCTTTGCGTAAGTGTTTCCTTGTCATACGTTAATGTGAGATGTAAGAAGGGCCGGCGTCACGCTCAAGGTCGTAGATGTACATTACCGGTGGTGTTTGTTGGAGAAACGAGGTTTCAAAGTTGACCGTGTATGATGGAGATGATTCCACTCGAGATAGGTACCCTTTAGTTTTTTTGGGGGCAAACCCGTTTGCCCTATTTCATCGCCGATTTGGTGTATTGTTTACTTAAGTATAGACCCTCCCTCATCTATCGTGTGTTGTTTCTTTTGGGATCCTGTAGTTGTTAAAATATAGTAACCGATAGTAAGTTGAGCTCATTCAGTCGAATTCTCAACGATTTTTGTTCGAATCTCAAGCTTTTGCAACTAGTTCTAACCAATACACCTGTAATGTAAGATGTGGCTGAAATATAATTATGTTGGCTTGACACCTGTGTACTTAGTTTTGAAATTGCACAATGTGTATTGCAGCTCGACCTTGAGAAAATTGTAATTTCTTTACAGTTTTTTTGCCTTTAAAAATGTTTAGTTAAAAGTTATATAGAACAAAAAAGAAAGTGAAAGAATATCGACCAAATAGTAAGCTTCAAAACGATACCCACTTTACGGATGAAAACAGAAGAGAAGGAATTTGGGCATGAACAAATACAACAACAGGTTGATTTTTCATGACCTAATTTTTGAAGGAGAAATCGGACACTATGACCTGTTACTGTAAATATACAAACATCGGGCAGATGTACTGACATTGGTATAGTTGCACATGAATCCCACTTTCTCTAGCGTTTTCATGATATAAGTCTTACTTGGAATGGGTTTCAGAAAGTCTGTTTGTGATCAAAAAACTTGATTACTTCTTTTTATGAACTTTCGCAAACAGCGGTTGAAAGTTGCAACATTGTTGGCGGCGCGAAAAATGGAACGCACTGCCTAGGTTCCATGGATCGAACGCAGGAGTTCGAAACCGATTGACTTCAAATTTGACGATTTTTGAATTGTCAGAACCTTGTATTAAACTCCTCTTTTTGTATATAATTGAATGTTATCATATCACTTATTATATTGCATGTGGTAGCCACATTCATACAGTTTCTCATACCAAGAAACGAATTTTATGACATTACGCGAAATGTATCAAAATGTAGCGGAAACTCAGGATGGTGTGTGTCAGTAGCTTACAACTGGGCTAAATTTGACCACCGCGATGTGCGCATCGTCACAGTTTTTTTGGGGGCAAACCCGTTTGCCATAAAATTTACCAGGGGTCATTGGTATCAATGTAAAGGTAAAGAAGTGGGCTATCACACTGTGGTATTAGCTAACGGGATCCAGTTAAATAGTAAAAAAGACAAGCACAAATAAAATGACCAAAAATTGCTAATTTTTGGAAGGCCGTAGCGCCCGCTGTCATTTTGCAATGCACGGAATATCTACATGGTTGTACTGGGCAAATCCTGTAGATGTGAAAAAATGTAAACATTGTGTAGGTCTGAGGTATTTTTGTTACAATATAGGCAGTTGTTTACACCCATGCAACGGGGTCAAATCGTGACCCGGCAAACGCCGTATCTTAGAGAATAACGCGTTCTACGGTGACCTGCGGTTCGACTGATGCTGCCTGCACCACCTTGCTATCAACTTTAGCTGTGACCCTTGCATTGTTCAGCCTTGTCTTAGCCGCCCTAATGGCGTATACTAGTGCCTTAGCCTCTTTGATGTTGATATGCAATACTCTATCCTGCTCAGTCCAGTAGTCGGAGTATGTGATCGACTCCTTATCTGGCAGATCTAACACAGCCCCCCATTTCATGTCGGAAGCGTCCGAGGACATTGTTAGTGTGAGATGTCTGTCCTCCCGCCATTGCATACAACCTTCCCAGTTATCTAGGAACCTCCACTCCTCAATCTCTTCTCTCAACTTCCCCGTAATCTGAATTAACTCCTGCCTTCTCTGCGCATGCGCGATTGCTCTATGTGCTTCCCTGGCAAACAGCTTAGCTGCGGGTACTACCAGCTGAAAGGAAACACACTTCCCTGCCCATTTCTGCAGTGTTTTAATAGAAACCCACTCTTGGGTCAGAATGTCTTCCCGGAGTCCGGCAAAGTTTTGCTTCTTATCTGTAGGTAAGATAAATGCCAGTAACACGGAGTCACACCCATAACCCAAATGTATAATATACTGAGTGGGGATGAGAACTGACTTCTTTAACCCCAGGAAGTAGCCTAACCTGATTAGGACCTGACACAATATGTAAATAGCCGCGTTCGCTGCATCTATACGACTATCCTTGTCATTCTTAAGCTTACGCCGCAACCGCGCCAATAACTCAGCGGCCAATCTGTCATCAATATATTGCATGACAGGTACTCCTAACGATCTAACATATGACGTTGCTACCATTCCCGTAGTGTTATAGAGAAATGGGCTAGCTTTAAACCCAAAGGAAATCGAGCAACATACAAACAGATAACCCCCCCACTGGAAACCCAGAAGCGTCTGGCTATCATCTGTCACTAACAGGTGATCGTATCCACTCTTATCGTCCACGGATGTTAAGAACGACCCTTTTGTGACCATTCTTGGGACCTCTTTTAATGTGTCTAGGGTGAAAGGGCAATCCTTTATCCAGCAATTCAAAAATCGCTGGTCACAACACAACCTTGGCTTCGATGGTTCTACAGTCAGGGGCATAACCAGGTGTGGGGGTTTACATTCTCCCACCTTTCCCCAAAGCCGTATTGCCCCCGTACCCAGCCTATTGCGTATTTCTTTAGTAATGAAATCTGCAAACTTCTGGCAGACCTTCCCATTGCTAAAATAGGCTGGCGGTGGGAATGCAGAATCATAGTGCTTCCCTTGGAACGAACCTTTAAATGGCACCACAAACTCTGTGACATCCACTTTATTCCTTATCCACCCCATTACCCTTTGATGTTCCACGCTACTTCCTGCAATACGCTCCCATTCTGATACATGATTATGTATTTCCCCCGCCCTAAACGTCCCTGGATCTCTAAATGTTAAATTGTCCGCCGTGACTGCAACATCGTGAGATGAGACGAACTCTGCATCGAGAATTGGACCCACGGTGCTGACATACTTCCCCTCCTTGTTAATCCATTTGGTGGCTGGGAGATTTGGCGAAGGCTGTGGGGGATCATCTTTCCATACCCCTATCTCCCAGGGTGGTATCCGGAACTGGTTAAGGAAAATTAAGCAATTAAAACTCTCATATTTAAAGGAGAGGAGGTGTGTCAGCACCCCAGGTACTGAGGCTCAGAATGACCTGGTCGCCAGAGTGCATGACTACCTCATTTATTATACCTATGGGTACTTTGATAGCATACGGGTTCTAATGTCTGCTGCTTATGTTCCTTTATCAGTCTCCATTACTCATTTATCATCTTTAAGAAAATGGGGATCACTGTGTCTTGTCCCTAACATAACGACCTCCTTTATATACGCTCACAGTACCCTCAAAGGAAAGTAATTCATAACTCAGATTTACACTGTATCATTTAACTATCTCCCTATATAAGTAACTATTGTACCCTATAATTTAAGTTCACGAGTCAGACCACAGGTACAATATTCACATATTTATTCACAAACATATTCAGTCCTTGCCAGTCCAGTTCATCATCGAAAATACAATATATTTATGGTGCTCCAACTTGAGAAAATCTATTCTTTACCAGTCCTCTTCATATATCCTTTTCTTACATCAATAACAAATATTTATCCACAATGTCGAAAATACTGCAATTCACTAATTTGTAATTTCCCTTCCCTGTATAATCATTCCTATGTCGACAAAGAGAATGTATACACAATATTTGTTTACTTATAGATGGAAAAAGCTCAGTTTCTTCCGAATCCCCCCTAACTGTTTCCGTTCTTCACATCGACCTGGATAATATGTATACGCAACAATTGTTCACAACAGATCAGAAGCTTAATTTTTACCAATTCAATACACATGTGTGTTTTACTACGTCGACCCAGATACCATGTATACGCAGTAACTGTTGAAAACAGATGAAAAGCTCAATTTTTTGTTACTAATCCATCCAATATACATGTGTATTTTACTACGTCAAACCCAAATACAATGTATACGCAATAACTGTTAAAAACAGATGAAAAGGTCAATTTTTTGTTACTAATCCATCCAATATTAATGTGTATTTTACTACGTCCATCCCAGATACAATGTATACGCAATAACTGTTAAAAACAGATGAAAAGGTCAATTTTTTGTTACTAATCCATCCAATATTAATGTGTATTTTACTACATCCATCCCAGATACAATGTATACGCAATAACTGTTAAAAACAGATGAAAAGCTCAATTTTCGTTACTAATCCATCCAATATACATGTGTATTTTACACGTCGACCCAGATACAATGTATACGTAATAACTGTTGAAAACCGATCAAAAGTTCAATTTTCTTTCAAATCCAATATAGTTGTGTATTCATTTACCATGTCGACCTAGATACAATGTATACATTATATTTGTTTCTGAATTAAGCACGTTTTGTACAATAATATTTGACCAATTTAGCTATAATATTCAGGTTCTTGGTCTTCTCCCCCCTCTCCTGCCCCGGGATGCCCCCCTACGGTACGGGCAGTAATTTTGTGAGTGCCCATATGCATGACACGAATAACATTCACCCCTAAACACAGTAGAAAACCCCCCCTGAGCCGGAGGAAACCATTGGGGCGGAGGGGGAGGTGGTGGCCATACAGACTGAGTGTGATATCCCGATTGTTTGACAACTTTAGCAAACTTCGACCCAATCCTATCATCAACATCCGAACCTAAGGCCCTCAGCACCATTTCCCCCAACATACTATTTTTCTCGTGGAGTGTAGCGTGCCTCAATGTCGCCGCATACGTTGGGTAATCCGGATGTCCCGCCGCTCTGGCTTTTTCCTCCAGTCTCCTCAAGGCCGGGATGAGTAAGGCATGATTGAGGTGGGACGGAGCTTTCGCCAGGTCCAAAACTTGCTCCAGTGACTCCCTCACCCCTTCTGTGCGATGTGCTTTTTCCAGTGCTTCCAATCTCTAAATGCAGGAGAGCAAAAAGAATTCCCATCACTCCAAATCAATACCATAGTCACCGTTCCACTGTAAGATTGCTATATTACATAGCATACGTAACAGGTAATTCATCTTCCTTCGCAGTTAATTATTTCAATGCCTGAGGAAACAGACCCTGTTTGTCCACCACATTCCGTTCACATTACCAACTTCTATACATGTTCACATTTCTTCACCCCATGCTTGTTTCATTATACCGGACTCCCAGTCAACTTTACAAAATTTCCGTGGCCTAATTCCTTCCTTTATTTCATCATACCGGACTCCCAGTCCAACTTTAAAAAATTTCCGTGGCCTAATTCCTTCCTTTATACACCATCCATGTTCCTTATAAGATTGGACTCCAAGTCCTCCATTACACATCCTTGATATGTTAATCCGGCCACATTCCTTCCGTCCTTATTATGTTAATCCAGTTAAAATTCCCACGTAACATGTGGAGGGAAACACTGATAAAGAAGAAACAAATAATAGCTACACATCAATCCTCACACATAGAATTACCCTACGTAGATAAAACATCCCTCACCTGCTGCCAATCGTTTCCCTGGGCCTGAGGGGCAGCGGCTTGGCCCTGGAGCATCGCGGCTTGCGGTGCCGCCTGGGCCTGGACTGGAATAGCCTGCGCCGCCTGGGCCTGGACTGGAATCGCCTGCGGTGCTGCCTGGGCCTGGTCTGGAGCTGCCTGCGGTGCTGCCTGGGCGTGGGCCTGGACTGGAGCTGCCTGCGTTACCGCCGCCTGGGCCTGGCCTGGAACCGCCAGCGGAGCCGCCGCCTGGGCCTGGACGTGCAGCGGCGGGGCCTGCTGCGGGACCTGCACTTGGATTGGTACAGCTTTGCGGAGCCACTTGTGGCGCTTGAGGCTGTATAATGAAGTAGAGTAAGTTATATGCGAAAACTGGAGACCTTTGTTTTACCCCAAGCGTCACATACCAATGTTACCAACACTGTCACTGATACACTATACTTACAGAAATCCAAACTATTTACACATTCCTATAACTACCTGTGGCGCCGGCAGGTTAGCCTGACCCTGACCCTGTCGTACTCCTACCCGCTGCTGTGCCGCCTGCATCCCGGGGGTTTGACCCTGAACTGGCGGCGGCGGAGGTGGCCGTGCGTCGTAATGTCTCCTCGGTCTCTGCGCCATCCTCACTCCAGTTCCCCCGCGCCGCCCGGCACTCAAGTTGGTCTGCACGCTTACCTCGTGGTTCTCTCTGTCTTATATGGCTCCACCTGCCCATAAGGTCATTACTATACACCACCTGTCTATTTCACCTGCTTCACCTGTCTTAGGTTAATCTATTTGCGCTCCCTCACATTCCGCTAGGGATTACTTGATTAAGATATGGAGAATTTACATACGTGAACCAGCCGATCGCGCCAAATTGCTGGTAACTGGATTTACCCTCCGCAACACGTTAAACTCCGAGATGTGCATCCTTTCAGACAACAGGATGGAGTTCGGGTAACAGTTAGAGACGTCCCTCTGTCAGTGGATGATAACGTCATCATGGAAGGCCTGAAGAGGTATGGCGCGAACCTTCTAGGGCCATTGAGGCGAGAAAAACTCAGAGTGGATGGAAAGTTAACTAATTGTGAGACTGGGGATCTGGTCTTAGACAGGTCCAGCAAGAGACAAACCCAATTTACTGCACCTAAAAAAGCACTTAGCAGCTTTAAAAAAATGCTAAGCCTTGTAGACATATGGCGGGAAACACATCCCAATATACGACAGTACACCTGGCCGGAGGAGACAAAATCCAGACCCTGTTTCAAGCATATTGGATTTTTGGCTTATCCACTGATCGCTAGTTGCGCATGTAGCAAAATGCGATATAAGATCTTCTATTAAAACAGATCACCTTGCAATATCTTTGAAACTACATTTCGAAAATGCTTCTAGGGGACCTGGATTTTGGCGCCTAAACACTTCACATCTCAGTGATGAGAAATATGTTAAAGCAGTTAAGTCTACAATACAAACTGTTGTTAGTGATTGTAATTACCTTGATGTATCCAAACAACTAGTTTGGGAAACTCGTAAGAAGAAGATTAAGGAGTTCTCTGACACCTATTCCAGGGCTAAAGCTTTTAAAGTGGACACAACACTTGAAGAGTTAGAAAAGAGACTTCAAGAACTAGAGAGTAAGTTAGATGATAACCTTGAAGACATTGTTCTAAATGAATACACTCAAATAAAGCTAAAATTGGAAAATATATATGAATACAAAGCAAAAGGAGCACAAATTAGAGCTAGGGCAAAGTGGACAGAGAAGGGAAAAGAGTCTAACAAATTTTTCTTGAATCTTGAAAATACCCGTTCAAAACAAAATACCATTACTAAATTAAAGAATGGAAATGAAGAAGAGACAAATCCGTTTAAAATTTTAGACTTGGAAGTAAACTTTTACAAAAACCTGTACTGTTCTAAGAACCCTGTTACCGATGAACAGATTGATACTTTTCTTGAGTCTGTTGAGGTACCCTCTCTCACAGATGAGGAAATGCTACTGTTAGATGAACCTATAACTAAAAATGAATGTTTCGCAGCATTGAAAACGATGAACCAAAACTAGAAAGGCCAATATTTGCTTTGGAGCAAATACAGCGATGGCTTCACCACATTTTACGACATGGCAGGGAAAGAATGAGAAACACAAGGGAAAACAATGCGTTACATTGATATAACTATAATATGAAGTAACATACAACTAAGACTACAACAGTTGGCTAGCTATTCCCTACATTATTGGTTAGGTATTTTTTAATTGC